AACTCTGCTGCTGCAAGGGCATCCTAACATTCTACAAATGGTTTTCCAAATCTGGGATGCTTCAGATACGTTGGCTAGCTATAGAGATGGCAACTACTGCGCTTGGACAAGCCTACTATACAAGTTATTCACTAGTAGAAGTACGCACCTTGTCCTGCCTTAGCACTCCAATGTCTCTTATGCCCACCACTCATTCTTACTGGTTTCTTATTTGGTCCAGTATTCATTTAGCCTTCCTCTCTTCTCACTCCGCCCACCCCCTTTGAATGGGGAAGTAGGACCTTTTCTCTTTCATTTAACTATCTGAAGGCCCTAAAATATGTAAAGGCACTCCAAAAATAACACTAAAGTAGCCCAGAGGCCCTTTGGAGAAATGCAGGGTTTTTTTTTGTAAACAAACAAAGAAACATAACATAATATCTAATGGGAATTACATGAGGACTCATAGCACAGTGATAATATTGACTCTGTCATTTTCAATTTTAGAGAGGAAGAAAATGCACATTTATTTGCTGGCAGATGTTATTTTAAAATAACTGGCAGAATGGATGACCTTGATTGTCAGGGGAACAAAGTTTTCACATCTGTGCTATGATTACGTAATATGATCTGATTTCCTGTTTACTTACAGTGGAAGTGGCCTGGGAAATGCAACAGGCAGTCGCTTGAAGGAAAGACTGAGATAAGACACTGTTCTGAGCTTGCTGACCGATAAGAATGGCAACAGCTGTAAAATGGAAAGGCCGATACTCAAGAAATGTGACCTTTTAGCCTCTGTCATTATGGAACGGAACAAGATGCCTATTTTGACATTTACAGAGCAAAATGCCACCTCCTACGATGCTGGATATTGTACATGCATTTATGCTGGCACCAAGACATACTACTTAGTCTATGATTTTACACTCTCAATTTCTGACAATTTGCCAATAAAATATTTTGGTTGAACAGTAGCCATAATTAATTAGCTATAATAAAGAGAAAAAGGAAGTGTTTATGTGCAGGTCAGCAGAGGTTTTGAGACCAAGCCAGTGGGTGATGTATTGTGTTGCAATTGTTTTTAAGTTTGACTTATTTGTTTAATGCAATTTTAACTAACTTGTTCTAATAATTGTATGCTTGAATTTATTTTAATATTTATATTTTATAGGTTTATATTGGGTTTTTTTTAAAGATTGTGAGCTATTTCGAGTTTTGATCAAGAGAGAAATGGGGAACTACTACTATTAATACTATCTAAATCATTTCATATGCCCACTTAATTTACATTTATCTACCTCCAATCAATCTAATCTGTTATTTTGTTTAAGAAAACAGTATTTGAAATTGTACTTGCAAGCTGAGGGCCCTTCCACACAACCCTATATCCCAGAATATTAAGGCAGAAAATCCCACAATATCTGCTTTGACTTGGGTTATCTAAGTTCATACTCAGATAATGTGGGATTTTCTGATTTGATATTCTGGGATATAGGGCTGTGTGGAAGGACCATGAAACTGAGAAACGAAATTGTTAAATCAGAAATGTTATAAGGACCTTTCTCAGCATCTTATTCATTTAGTAGGTGACACTGTAACCTAACCTAACCTAGACCAGGGTTTTAAACTGAAGACCCCTTTCTCCCTGAGAAATTTTTAGGAGACCCCAGGTATATAAAATAAGTATACAATCATTTACTGATAACAAATTAGCAACTGCGAGGCTTGCTAATTCTGGGTTATATGGCTGTGTTTGGGATGATCTAAATTTCCCCTTTACTAATGTTGTTTAAATGTGTTTCATAGGATGGTTGTTACTGTTTTTCTAACTATTTGTTTTATACTATTTACACTGTATTTTGTTTAGATTGCATTACTTACTTATTACAAGGCATTGGATATTTGCCTTTTTATGTGAGTTGCCCTGAATCTCCAGGGGGGACAGGGAGGGATATAAATAAAGTTTGATTTGGTTGTTATGGGGAAGGGCCCTTGACTAGTAGGAAATGCATAATGAGTCAGATACACTTTATTTATATTCTGCTCTTCTCACCCCGAAGAGGACTCAGGGCAGATCACAGTACATATACTTGGCAAACATTCAATGCTGTTTTATATAGACAATACGCAGACAGACAACAGAAGGAGGTGGTTTGTTTCAATTCAGTGTGCAGTTGTTTTTGATGCCATGGAAAGTTGGGCTTGAATCCAGGGGGTGCTGTTGCTCTATGACAGTGGTTCTCAACCTGTGGGTCCCCAAGTGTTTTGGCCTACAACTCCCAGAAATTCCAGCCAGTCTACCAGCTGTTATGATTTCTGGGAGTTGAAGGCCAAAACATCTGGGGACCCACAGGTTGAGAACCACTACTCTATGATGAAGAGCCATCAGGACTTCCTCCTTCATTTTTTAGCGGTACCTATTTATTTATTTATTTACTTTGCTTATATACCGCTGTATCTCAAGCCCGAAGGCGACTCACAGCGGTCACAAACAGTAGAAACAGTAGAAACAGCAGTGGTTCCATACAACATATAACAATTGACTTAACACATTATCCATAAATTACCAATAAGCAATTACAATGCACAATTATTACAAAAAACAACCGTACCCAATCTTCTCATCATCCAAGCGTAGTCCAGGTTCGTCGTCCATTGTTCCATTCCTATGTTCCATTACCAGATTGCACTAAATTACTCAAACGCCTGCACAAACATCCAGGCTTCACCTTTTTGCGGAATACCATTAGAGATGGTGCTAGTCTAATGTCCGTAGGAAGGGCGTTCCACAGCCGAGGAGCCACCACCGAGAAGGCCCTATCTCTCGTCCCCGCCAGCCGAGCTTGAGAAGCAGGCGGGATCGAGAGCAGGGTCTCCCCGGAAGATCTCAAACTCCTGGTGGGTTCATAGGCAGAGATGCGGTCAGATAGGTAGCTTGGGCCGGAACCGTTTAGGGCTTTAAAGGCCAACGCCAGCACTTTGAATTCAGCCCCGTAGCAGATCGGTAGCCAGTGGAGTTGGCGCAACAGGGGAGTTGTATGCTCCCTGCGCTCCGCTCCTGTTAAAATCATGGCTGCCGAGCGTTGGACTAGTTGGAGCTTCCGAGCTGTCTTCAAAGGCAACCCCACGTAGAGAGCGTTGCAGTAGTCTAAACGGGATGTAACCAGAGCGGGGACTACCGTGGCCAAGTCAGACCTAATTTCTCTAATTACAGCTAAAGCTGTTTTCGAATTTCTTAGGTAAACAATGAGCTAGGGTGTCATTCGGCAGCTCATGCCAAACCCGGGGTTCGAACTTGGAACCTTTCTGGTTGATAGATCTTAAAATTGCTGACGATTTACCAGCTGTGCTAAACCTCCGGCCCCTTGGAAATAAACCTATTTTACGAAATCAGGGTGCCTGAAACTCAGATATGACTATGGACCCTTCTACACTGATGATCAAAGCAGATAATCTGTACTATCTACTGGATAATCCAGATTATCTGCTTTGAACTAGATATGAGTCTACACTGTCATATAATTCAGTTCAAAGCAAATAATCTGGATTTTTAAAAATATATATTTTATTAGAGATGAGGGGGGGAAAGGGGAAGGTATTTTCGTTCTACAGGTAAAGTGGGAGAACAAAAATCTCTATAAATAAAAATGTAATGTTTGTTTGTGGTATTAACAGAACTCAAAAACCAGTGAGCCAATTGACACCAAATTTGGACAGCATACACTTAACAACCTAATGTATGTCATTCACTCATTTTTTTTAAATTTTGTCATTTGGGAGTTGTAGTTGCTGGGTTTTTTAGTTCACCTACAATCAAAGAGCATGCTGAACCTAAAGGAAAGAATTGGGCCAAACTTCCTACACAGAAACCCCATACTTAAGACCATCCAGTCCAACTCTCTTCAACAGGGCAAGAAAATGTAATCAAAGCCCTCCTGACAAAGAGCCATCCAGCCACAGATATAGATTTTGTGTGTGTGTGTGTCAGGAGTGTCCTGTTGGGAGAGAATTGGCCGTCTGCAAGGACAGCGCCTTTTTTTTTTGTCGTGTCAGGAGCGACTTGAGAAACTGCAAGTTGCTTCTGATGTGAGAGAATTGGCCGTCTGCAAGGACGTTGCCCAGGGGACGCCCAGATGAATTGATGTTTTTATCATCCTTGTGGGAGGTTTCTCTCATGTCCCCGCATGAGGAGCTGGAGCTGATAGAGGGAGCTCATCCGCCTCTCCCTGGATTCGAACCTGCGACCTGTCAGTCTTCAGTCCTGCCGGCACAGGGGTTTAACCTGATATAGATATGATTATATATAGATATGATTCACACACATACATATAGTATCATAGATTTGAAAGGGACTCCTAAAGAAGGACAATATGTTGCATGTTGCAGAGTGGGCAAACCAGACACTCCCCACATCAACACTGACAAAGAAACAACAAGAACTACTGTTTACCCACAAGCAGAAAGAATTTACATATATTAGAAATCAACACTTTTTTTCATTACTTTATTTTCCAGATCACCTGACTGGGCCACAGCAACGCGTGGCAGGGAACGGCTAGTATGACAGTAAAGTAGGCAAATAAGATATAAAAAAAGAAAAAAAGGAAGAGAAGTTTTGAAGATTGTCAGAATTCAACGGGAAAAAGAAAAAAAATACAAAAAACCGGAATATATATATAATAATCTGGATTATTAAAGAGCAGTGTAGAAGGGGTCTGAGGAATATGGCAGTGTAGAAGGGGCCTGAGAAAAGCTTAAACAGGTCGTTATATTAACAACACTGAGGTAAATTCTGGACAACGCTAACACTGACCGACTTGTCCGGTATGTTTACGAGATAATGTGATGCACTTTGGTCGACTTTTGCTACGCACATGGCGCCTTCGGTCTGTATGAGAGGAACCGGAAGTTTACTAGATATATCCAGCCTACTCTCCTCCCTTCCGGTCCTCCCGCCTTCCAATCCCTCCGCTTCTAAGACTTGACGCGACAGGAAGCCGTTTCCGCCAGGGACGCTCTATCACAGGAAGCACTCTATGCGCCGGAAGCCCTTAGTCCTCACTTCCGCTTTCCTGTCAGGAGGCGCCGGGAAGATGTCTCCCACCATGGGGGAGGCGGCTGCCAGCTCTGGGTCAGCGGCGGAGCTGCTTTTACGACGGCTTGAGGCGGCGGGGGCTCACGGCGAGGCCGGGATTTGTAGCCTGGAGGCGGCCGCGGCCCTCGGCTTGGAGCACCAAGTGCTTGTCGGGGCGGTGAAGAGCCTGCAGTCGCTTGGCGAGGTAAAAGGGCCGAGGGGGAGGGGCTTGTTTCTGGCCACGCCCCCTCGAGGCACCACTCTCTTGAGGGGATCCAACACCTGAAGAGCTGGCCACGCCTCTTCTGTTGTTTCATTCGCTGTTCAACATTTACACAAATGACCAGCCATTGCCAGAAGGGACAGAGTTTCATCTATGCTTATTTATTTATCGTGTCATCAGCAACCATACCATTGTGTTACAATTCTAACAGAACAAAACAAACACACAGATTAAAAAGAAAAAGAAAAAAAAACACACAGATTTTGCAAACTTGGTAGTTAGTTAAATGTCCTTTGACCAGTATCTGGCCACTTGGAGTGCCTCTGGTGTTGCCGCAAGAAGGTCCTCCATTGTGCATGTGGCAGGGGTCAGGTTGCATTGCAGCAGGTGGTCTGTGGTTTGTTCTTCTCCGCACTCGCATGCCGAGGATTCCACCCTGTAGCCCCATTTCTTAAGATTGACTCTGCATCTTGTGGTGCCACCAGAGCGCAGTCTGTTCAGCGCCTTCCAAGTCGCCCAGTCTTCTGTGTGCCCAGGAGGGAGTAACTCATCTGGTATCACCCATGGATTGAGGTGCTGGGTTTGGCCCTGCCACTTTTGGACTCTCGCTTGCTGGGGTGTTCCAGCGAGTGTCTCTGTAGATCTAAGAAAACTATGTCTTGATTTAAGTCGTTGATGTGCTGGCTGATACCCAAACAGGGGATGAGCTGGAGATGTCTCTGCCTTGGTCCTTTCACTATTGGCTGCTACTTCCCGGCGGATGTCAGGTGGTGCAATACCGGCTAAGCAGTGTAATTTCTCCAGTGGTGTGGGGCGCAGACACCCCGTGATAATGCGGCATGTCTCATTAAGAGCCACATCGTGGCTCTTAATGTTTTACCGTGGTGAGATGTGTTCCACACTGGGCATGCATACTCAGCAGCAGAGTAGCATAGCGCAAGGGCAGATGTCTTCACTGTGTCTGGTTGTGATCCCCAGGTTGTGCCAGTCAGCTTTCGTATGATGTTGTTTCTAGCGCCCACTTTTTGCTTGATGTTCAGGCAGTGCTTCTTGTAGGTCAGAGCACGGTCCAAAGTGACTCCCAGGTATTTGGGTGTGTTGCAATGCTCCAGTGGGATCCCTTCCCAGGTAATCCTCAGAGCTCGGGATGCTTGTCTGTTCTTAAGGTGAAAGGAGCATGTCTGTGTTTTAGATGGATTAGGGATCAGTTGGTTTTCCCTGTAATAGGCAGTAAGAGCACCTAGAGCTTCGGAGAGCTTCTTTTCAACCATCTCAAAGCTCCCTGCTTGAGTGGTAATGGCACGATCATCAGCATAGATGAAACTCTCTGTCCCTTCTGGCAGTGGCTGGTCATTTGTGTAGATGTTGAACATTGATGGAGCAAGCATGCTCCCCTGAGGCAAGCCGTTCTTCTGTTTTCGCCATCTGCTTCTCTGGCCCTGGAACTCAACAAAAAAGCTCCTGTTTTGTAGCAGGTTTCCTATGAGGCGGGTGAGGTGGTAGTCCTTTGTGATATTATACATTTTTCTCAGGAGGAGGCGGTGGTTCACAGTATCATAAGCTGCTGACAGGTCTATGTGCAGCTTTTGCCTTTTCTGAAGCCAGCTTGCTGTGGGATCAGACAGGGGTCTATATTTTCCATAATTCTATGCAAAATAAGTCTCTCCAGAACTTTGTAGAGGTGGCACAACAGGGAGATTGGTCTGTAGCTTTTTGGGTCATTACGGTCTTTGCCTGGCTTCAAGATGGCGATGACTCTTGCTTTCCTCCAGATTTTGGGGATCTGACAGGATGCAATGCAGTTGTTCATCAGCTCCAGCAGCCAGCGCCTTGCTTTTGGACCAAAGTTCTTGATTTGTTCCATCCGTAGATCATCCAAGCCAGCTGCTTTGCCATTCTTACATTTGTTGAGAGCCATGTTCCAGTTCAGTAGATGTAAAAGGTTCATGGAGGTTATTATAACCTCCATCTATGCTGATGGTCGTGCCATCACCGCTCAAGCAGGGAGCTATGAGATGGTTGAACAGAAGCTCTCTGAAGCTCTAGGTGCTCTTACTGCCTATTACAGGGAAAACCAGCTGATTCGTAACCCATCTAAAATACAGAGATGTGCTTTTCATTTTAAGAACAGGCAAGCAGAACAGCTTCAGACAAGCAGAACTGCAGAACAGAGAGGGCCTTCTCGGTGGTGCCCCCCCCCCCAACTCTGGAACTCACTTCCCAGGAACATCAGACATGCCCCAACTCTGGCAGTCTTTAGGAGGAACCTGAAAAGGTGGTTGTTCCAGTGTGCCTTCCCAGAATAAGGAAAACTCTCAGCAATATGCCCACAAAATGCACTTTACCACTGATTTAGGACTGACTGCATTCCCTCATTTCTCTCTGAAAATCCTATCCCAGTTATATCCTACCTTGTTCATGTCAGCATTATTTTTTAATTTTAATCTATTACATTTGGCCCGGCCATTGGTTTTAAATGCTTGTATGTTACTGTTGATTATTTATTGCCTATTTTTTGTTTATGTGATTTATTTGAATTGTATTGCATTGATGTTTTATTTAATGATATTGTGGGCTTGGCCTCATGTAAACTGCACCGAGTCCCTTGGGGAGATGGTAGCGGGGTACAAATAAAGTTTTATTATTATTATTATTAGCATCCCAAGCTCTGAGGATTACCTGAGAAGGAATCCCACTGGAGCATTGCAGCGCACCTAGATACCTGGAAGTCACTCTGGACTGTGCTCTGACTTACAAGAAGCACTGCCTGAATATCAAGCAAAAAGTAGGCGCTAGAAACAATATCATACGAAAGCTGACTGGCACAACCTGGGGATCACAACCAGATAAAGTGAAGACATCTGCCCTTGCGCTATGCTACTCTGCTGCTGAGTATGCATGCCTAGTGTGGAACACATCTCACCACGCTAAAACAGTGGATGTAGCTCTTAATGAGACATGCTGCATTATCACGGGGTGTCTGCGCCCTACACCACTGGAGAAATTACACTGTTTAGCCCAGGGGTCCTCAAAATTTTTAAGCAGAGGGCCAGGTCACAATCCCTCAAACTGTTGGGAGGGCTGGATTATAATTTGAAAAAAAAAAAAGAATGAATTCCTATGCACACTGAACATATCTTATTTGTAGTGCAAAAACACTCAAAAACAATACAATAATTAAAATGAAGAACAACTTTAACAAATATAAACTTATTAGTATTTCAGTGGGAAGTGTGGGCCTACCTTTGGCTGATGAAATAGGGTTGTTGTTGTTGTGTGCTTTTAAGTCATTTCAGACTTAGGTTGACCCTGAGCAAGGGCAGAGTAAATGACCTTTGAGGGCCGTATCCAGCCCCCGAGCCTTAGTTTGAGGACCCTGGTTTAGCTGGTATTGCACAACCTGCCATCCGCAGGGGAGTAGCAACCAATAGTGAAAGGACCAAGGCAGTGACATCTCCGTCCCACTCCCTGTTTGGGTATCAGCCAGAACGCCAATGATTTAAATCAAGAAATAGTTTTCTAAGATCTACAGAGACACTCGCTGGAACACTTCAGCAAGCAGGAGTCCAAAAGTGGCAGGCTAAAACCCAGAACCTCAATCAATGGCTGATACCAAATGAGAGACTCCCTTCTGGGCACACAGAAAACTGGGTGACTTGGAAGGCCCTGAACAGACTGCGCTCTGGCACCACGAGATGCAGAGCCAACCTTAGAAGGAGAAGGATTCAATATATTCAGTATTGACAGAAATGCACTTCCACTGCACTGTGATGTTTTAGTGCAAGGTCAGTCCCGTTCTGACTTGAAATCACTTATCTCAGGAGATATCCCAGTAAAGATGTCTTCTAAAGGAATAATGGTAAGAAATGTTATCAATCAGTCATGGCTTCCATAGCTTCATCATATCTCCTTGCACACAGTGAGCTTGAGGACGACAGAGTGAAGGTGAGGGTTCATGTGATGGAATGTGAATAGATGTCCCTGAAGTTTAGAAAACTAGCCTATGAGAGAGAAGGTTGGGCTAGAATAAAGCCAGAATGATGTTTTCCCTGACATATATGCACACACACACACAAACGTACAAAAACAATTGATCATGTGAACCTCTAGGTCAGATGGGAGTGGTTGATCCAGACACAGGCTTCTCTTCTCAGGATAAACTTGTTTTGTCTGGGAAATATGATGCCTTCATGGTGTTTCAGATGCTGTTTCAGATGAAAAGGGAAGGGAGAGGCTGTAATTTCGTGGGCTGACTCCTGGTTAGGACCACAGTTACTGCTTTTTTTCTTTCAAATCTTAGTCCTCTCTCTTTTCTCCCTCCCTGCTGCTACTTTCAGCCCCATCCCATTTCATTTAGGTGATTTCCACCCTTGAAGGTGTTCTCATTTTCTGTTTAGGTGATTGAGGCAGAACAGCGTACATCCAAGAAGTGGGAGCTGACTCCTGAGGGCCAAGAAATTGTACAAGAAGGAAGTCATGAAGTTAGAGTCTTTAACAGCATCCCTTCTGAGGGTCTGGTCCAGAGTGAGCTGATGGTAATATTTTTCCCCCATGTACTGATTAAACTAGAGTGTAAGTGAAGAAGTAGTAGACTTTCCTTATCTGTCCCTGTTGGAATATTTGATGGAGGTCTCAGTTCAAATTTCTTCTCCTCTAGATGTACTTGAAGCGGAAAGAGCACTATGTCTCTCCATTATTTATATTGGCTATGGCTTGTGAGGGGAGCAGGTTAGCATTTGACATTGCACCTGTGAGCTCATGTTTCCTTTGTTTCTCTGTAGAAGCTCCCAAGTGGAAAAGTGGGATTCAGCAAAGCAATGTCCAACAAATGGATCAAACTAGACAAGGACTCAGAAGGTGGACCTCGAATCTTCCGGGTGGTAGGTCACTCTAGCTCTCCATCTACTTTGTGTATTTGTTTCTGCAGGACAATATTTTGCCTTGTGTTCAAAATGGTTACATAGTTTCCTGAACAACATTACTGTTAAATGCAGCACTATCTCTGTATGACTACTACTGTTTTTTTATAAAAAATATTTATATATCACTGTTTTCTGATTATTCTGGCTGAGTTAGAGTAAGCTTATGAATGTAAAAATAATTAAACAATGCATGTCAAAACATTTTTACAAGGCAATAAAACAGCTATGTAAAAACTAAAAAAACCCCCTTAAAATCTGCATCCGCATAGCATTAAAAGCCAATCCTAGTGGGTTTGTAAAAGCCTGAAAGCATAAAAATGTTTTTACCTACTATTTTAGAAAGAGATACAATCTTTTTCAGATGATCTTTTCAGATAACTTGGGACTAGTAAACTGTCTAGGGCTGTGTGTATCAAAAACAGCAATTTTGAATTGTGCCCAGAAATGGATTGATTGCCAATAGAACCGTTGCAACAAGAGAAGTATGGATGTTAAAGGTCCCAGCATTACGAGCTCTGGAGATTCCAACATCCCAGGTAGCCCAGGCAGAGATACTGTTGAGTAGTAGGGTGGGTGATGTAACAACAGAACCTTTAGTCCAGGCTTCTTCAACTTGTGGCCCTCCAGGTGTTTGGGCCTGTATTTCCCAGATGCCTAGCCCGCTTGTTTGTTGTTGTTCATTTGTTCAGTTATTTCCAACTCTTCGTGACCTCATGGACCATTCCACGCCAGGTCTCCCTGTTGGCCGTCACCACCCCCAGCTCCTTCAAGGTCAGTCCAGTCACTTCAAGGATCCCATCCATCCATCTTGCCTTTGGTCGGCCCCTCTTCCTTTTTCCCAGCTTGTTTAATGGTTGGGAATTCTGAGAGCTGAAGTCCAAAACATCTGAAGGGCCACAAGTTGGAGAGGCCTGCCCTAGTCTGTCCTAGTTATAGAGTGCTGCCTTAGTCTGTCCCTAACAGTGCTGCAATTCCACCTCCCCATCCCATAGGTTTTGCCACAGAGAATCCTGGTGGGCAAAGCTGAGAAAGATTAACCCCAGCCTTATCCAATCAGATCTCATGATTATTCAGGATCAAGTTCTGAATAGCAGCTTCTTCTCCAACCTGGTCAATCAAACTAGAGTAATCCATGGATAATGGGACAGGAACAAGAACATCAGGGCTCTTTCCTCAAAGGACCATTTTTCATTCCCAGGTGGACTCTGTAGGGGATTCGGTGAGGGAGAAGCTGCTCCAGGTACAGCGAGGAGAGGCTGACCGCCTCGAAGAGAAGGACAGGAATGAACTGAAAAAGCGGAAACTTTTGACAGAAGTGTGAGTTTAATTTCATCATCCCACTCATTACGATCTGTTTCTCAGACTTGTTTTTGCTAAAAAAAAAAATTGGTTGTTGAGTTTTGCTCTTTGCAAGTGTTGTCCAGAAATGTATGTTGTGATGTGCGAATTCTTCAGCAGGAATTCAGATGTGCTTCTGTCCAACAGAAGCAGCAGCAAAACCTGTGTTTATTTTCAGGACTCTGAAGTCATACTGGATCAAAAAGGGAAATGCTTTTAGTACAAGTGTTGCCAAGCAGGAAACAGATCTCACTCCAGAGATGATTGCCAGGTGAGGAACCATTATGGTTATACTTTGGTCTGTGGTCCAGAATTGAGGTTTCTCACCAGAATTTGTTTTTATGTCCCCAGTCAGACAGCTACCAAATTCTTGGTTTCACATAATTTCTGCAATAGTCCCATAGCTATTAAGAAGTGGTGAAAAGGATTTTTGTAGATTTTATCAGCTCTTCAGCCTATTTTATTTTCCCTCCTTGATATGCTGGTAGCTGCCTTTTTTGTAAACAAAGTTTCTAAATCTTAGTGGTTCTCAACTTGTGGGTCCCCAGATGTTTTGGCCTTCAACTCCCAGAAATCCTAACCTGCTGGGATTTCTAGAAGTTGTAGGCCAAAACACTTGGGGACCCACAGCTTGAGAATTACTGCTATAGCTGAATAAAAATGATCTGAAAGGAACCATACCCTATTATAATATTAACTCTTGTTCTATTTGCTCTCACCCATCCCCACATTTGCAGTGGTTCTTGGAGAGATTTGAATTTCAAGGCGTATAACTTTGAGGCACTGGGCATCATGCCTGAAAGTGGGCATCTCCATCCACTGCTAAAAGTCCGCAGCCAGTTCCGGCAGATCTTCCTTGAAATGGGGTATGTATTCTTTTTCTGCAAAATCCTGGTGAAGCCTGGGGCTGAGAAGACAAAATGTGTTGTTCTATAACAGCGGTCCTCAAACGTTTTAAACAGAGGGCCAAGTCACAGTCCCTCAAACTGTTGGAGGGCTAGATTATATATAATTTGAAAAAAAATATGACTGAATTCCTATGCACACTGCACATATCTTATTTGTAGTGCAAAAACACTTTAAAACAATACAATAATTAGAATGAAGAACAATTTTAACAAATATAAACTTATTAGTACTTCAATGGGAAGTGTGGGCCTCCATTTGGCTGATGAGATAGGATTGTTGTTGTTGTTGTTGTTGTGTGCTTTCAAGTCGTTTCAGACTTAGGTTGACTCTGAGTGAGGGCCAGGTAAATGACCTTGGAGGGCCGTATCCAGCCCCCAGGCCTTAGTTTGAAGAGCCTTGTTCTATAATATGTGCATTTAAGGGGCCAGGCAACCTGGATTTTCCTTTTCACCAGTATGGAATATATAATATAATTATGGAAGTTCTCCTGTGGGGAAGACAGTGCTGGCAAAAAAATCTGTTGCTGCAGTAAACTTCCCACTGCTTTTTTTTAGGTTCAAGAAGATTCTTGATGTTTTCTGTCCAGATGTGGGGTTGTTTTCCTGTAGCTTATCAGTAGCTCCTCCTGTGACTGCCTTCTATATAGCTGTCTTGTTGACTGTGTGTTTCCTTCTTTAGTTTTACAGAAATGCCAACCGATAATTTCATTGAGAGCTCCTTTTGGAACTTTGATGCCTTGTACCAACCACAGCAACATCCAGCCCGGGACCAGCATGATACTTTCTTCATAAAAGGTCAGTTGGTCGGCATTCATCTGACCTCCCATTGCTGCCCTTTCATAGCTAGGATATCAAGACCTTAGGATTTCTCCTTTTAGGGGTTGGTCACAGTCAAGATCTGAGTCTTTAGGATGTGGATTCCCAATATGCCAATTGCAAGAGACCTACAACTTGACTGCCATCATTGTTTGACAGATCCTGTCATAAAGCACTCCTCCCGTTCATTGTTCTGTATCACGCAGTGTTTTTGTGAACATCTAAAACAGCTTCCATTTACAATAAGATATTTCCAAAGAAATGCATTGTTGATTGTCCAAGAAAAGGATGGGGAAGTGACATAAGAGAAATTTGTATTTCAATATGGAGGACAAGGAAGGAAGAAAGCACATAGTTTGAACTCTACATATAGGACTTGCACATGGTCGTGTAATGAAAGCACACACTCCCAAACTGCGCATACTGTATGGGAGTATATATACGCAATGCATGGCCAAAGCATGTGCATGTATTTATTTTCTGTGGTATCAAATTTTGATCCAGTAGAATTTAATTCTTAAATGTGGATGATTTTCATGTAGGATTCTACTCTATCCCAAACTGCCATTTGCCCCCAATATTACTGAAGCATAAGGCCTAGATCAGGGGTCCTCAAACTTTTAAAACAGAGGGCCAGGTCATAGTCCTTCAAACTGTTGGAGAGCCGGATTATAATTTGAAAAAACCATGACTGAATTGCTATGCACACTGCACATATCTTATTTGGAGTTCCAAAAACACTTAAAAACAATACAGTAATTAAAATGAAAAATTTAACAAATATAAACTTATTAGTATTTCAATGGGAAGTGTGGGCCTGCTTTTGGCTGATGAGATAGGATTGATGTTGTTGTTGTGTGTTTTCAAGTAGTTTCAGACTTAGGTTGACCCTGAGCGAGGACCAGGTAAATGACCTTGGAGGGCCGTATCCAGCCCTCGCGCCTTAGTTTGAGGACCCCTGGCCTAGATCCAATACACAGGTTCTTAGAAACACATACTTCTAACTCTCTGTGTTCACTGATGTGTTCTGTGACTTTATGTTGTCATTTCCTGTAGAAATCATGAAGATCTATGCTTTGAGACCATTTTTGTGTCACAGCAGTACTTGCAAGTATTAGATTTTGACTTTTGCTGTGCAGTCAATAGAAAGCAACACAAATTTTATTGGAGTAGTGATCTGAATGAGGCTCCCGTGCTTTTTTAAAAAAGGAAATTTGCAATGATCTGTGTTTTGATTTACCATGCCCTTTGCCTTCTTGATGTTCTGTAATAACAAGTGGTCCATGAAAGAACCTAAAGGCCACCTCATCCCAAGGTGGTGGGTGGATCCTTTCCCCTGGTTGTGGCATGGATTACTGTCATGAATGACTTTTCAATGACTTTAAAGTATAGAGTCCCCCTCGGGGTGAGAAAAGCGGTATATAAATGCTGCAAATAAATAAATAGATTCTTTTTATTGCAATTTCCAGTGTGAGAGGGTACATCAGATTACAGAAAAACATTTAGACATACAGACGTACAGATTCTATGCAACTACATTGGATTTACAATTACATTGGTTAACACATAGACAAAGGGGAGTTACATTTTCACTCAACTTTCACATCACATGTACATACATTCATCCTCAGGCATTCAAATATTACCATATCTTTTTCTCCCTCCTTGGAGAAGCACCTGTTAGGCCAGACCCTGCTTTTGTACAGTTCCAAAATTTCCATAACACCATAACTTAACACACTGAAATGCCAAAACTTCTTTCCCTAAGCACAATGTCAAGAACCAGATCTCTGTTTTCCATACAGCAGAACCTGACTCCCTACACAAAATCTAAGACTCCAGAAGCGCACTTCTTCCTCTTCCCTTGAGAAAGAAGCCCCAAAGTGACCAGACTGCTCCAATGCAAATCTGCTACTCTCCTTCCCATGGAGCAGAGCATAGCGGGTGGAGCAGACTCCTCAGTCTGCCACACTTTGAGCATTATTAGACTGAGTCATAGGAATATTCTGTTGATGTAGTCTCAAAGTTGTAAATTAATGATAGACGTCTTCCATCCTGGATCCATCTCAGTTTCCTGGCCAGATGTTGACTCTTTTTGATTCGTGTTGATCTTATGTTGAATTCCTTCTTAACATTGTAAACACTTCTGTTTTCTTATCAGAGTTTCTTTTTCAGCTGTCATTAGCAATTTTAATTACAGTCCAGTAAGCAGGTAGTTAGTCATTGCAGGCCTTAATATTTTACTGATGTCTCCAAAATTATTAGCTCCATCCATACATTCATCTTCCATTCATTCCCACACATCATATTAAATTCGCATTTATCAAATCTGCACAGTGGATTTCTTATTACATTACTAGTCCTGTGACTAGGTGTACATGGCTAGGTGTGGTTCCCACAACAGCCATTTCAAGGTGGTCACTTCCCTATAACTTTGAGCCATGCCCCCTTCCCAAAATGGGGACCTTTGACAAGTGCCCTTCATTTTGGGCTGGATTTAAGTGATAATGCTCTCTATTCTACTAGAGAGAGCAAACATGAAATCTTCTGGAAGCCTTTCTTACTCTGGATCTAGAATGCAACAGAGCACTTACTCTAAGCTATTTCACCTATTTTTCCAGTGCACTGGATGGCCCCTCCATGCCCATGTCACTAGCTTTGTCTCATTCCTTCCAGATCCTGCTGAAGCCATTGAGTTTCCCATGGATTATCTGAAAAGGGTAAAGAGGGTTCATTCACAAGGAGGTTATGGCTCTCAAGGGTGAGATTCAATGCACATTTTTAATGGCTGGGTCTGGCAGTGTAAGAAAACAAACAATATTGATGAAAAGCCTGTGGATGTTGATAACTGCTGATGTATTGTATTTTATATGTTATATGTTGTGTGGTACCATTTTGTGCAACTTTGTAAGCTGCCCGAGTCCCAATGGGAGATGGTGGCGGGACATGAACAAAGTCTTTTTAAAATAATAATAATAATAATAATAATAATAATAATAATAATTATTATTATTATTATTATTATTATCTTCAAATTTGTGTTGTTCCTTGCCCAGTTCATTGCAGGGCTAATTGCTAGTGCTTGCAATAGAAAGCTCTTTTTCCAATTCCCAAGAACAACGGGGTCACCCTTTTGTTATTGTCCTCAGAATGCACTTTACTACTGGTTTAGGATTGACTGCGCTCCCTCATCTCTTTTAAAACCCTATACCAGATATATCCTACCTTGTTCATACCCAGCGTTAATTTATTTTTAATTTTTTTTAACTATTACATTTGGCCTGGCCATAGGTTTTCAAATCCTTGTGTGTTACTGTTTATTGGTTATTGTTTATATGTGATTTATTTTAATTGTATTGTATTTATTGTTTTTGTTTATTGCTTTTTGTTTTTATTGATGTGTTGTTGGGCTTTTTAATTATGTGTTGTTATATTGATAATGTTGTGTCTTTTATTGTCTATTTTTTTTTAATTGCTTGTATTGTTGTTATTATTGCTTGTATTGTTGTATTTGGGCTTGGCCTCATGTAAGCCGCACCGAGTCCCTTGGGGAGATGGTAGCGGGGTACAAATAAAGTGTTGTTGTTGTTATTATTATTATTATTAGCCACTCTGAGTCCCTTGGGGAGATGGTGGCGGGGTATAAATAAAGATTATTATTATTATTATTATTATTATTATTATTATTATTATTGATGCATTTGCTACAAGCATGAAAAAAGAGGAAATGAAAGCCTCCCATGGTGGAATTTAGTCTTCTATTTTTTTTAGTCATTGCACTCTTCATAGCTGTAGTTTGAGATATATTACTTTGCAATGAAAAGTAGCGTTGGGAATGGGCATTTTTATGATGTTTGAGAGAGCAAAATATCAAATCTTATATAAACAGTAATGCTTATTATGGCCTGTTCTTCAACCCTATGCCTCAGATGCTGTCAACTAAATATCTTTCCACCCTTACCTTCCCAGGTACAAATATGACTGGAAAATAGAGGATGCTCGGAAGAACCTCCTTAGGACACATACAACTGCTGCCAGTGCCCGCATCCTCTATCAATTAGCACAGCAGGTAGCTACTCAGTAATACTGGTTCCTACTTTGCACTATCTTGACTATTGAGTGATGAAAAAAAAAAATGAAGAACTTCATTGACATGCAGGAATGGGCAAATACTGCTTTCCAAAGGTTTATGTCCTATATCACAGCCAATGTGGAGCCTAGCATTGCCTACTCCTATTCCAAATTAGTAGTGGGAGTCATTTAAACTTAATAGGCCAGGGCTCACCTAAGTGTGGGTGCTCTGTCTGCTAAGATTAAAATAGCTGATCCCACTCAAAGTGTAAACTGGTAACAAATCCTTTTCCTACAGGAAAAATTTACCCCTGCCAAATACTTCTCGATCGACCGCGTCTTCAGAAATGAGACATTGGATGCCACACACTTGGCGGAGTTCCATCAGATCGAAGGGGTGGTGGCCGATTATGGCTTGACCCTGGGGGACCTGATGGGTGTCCTGAAGGAGTTTTTCACCAAGTTAGGTAGGATTTGCTTCATGATTAAAATGGAGGTGGATATTAGAGGGCAGGTCTGGGCATGGGCAGCAGTCTAGGAGAAAGGCTCTTTGTGCGGGTTGCCCCTCTCTCTTTCCACGAACCAAGTTTTATCTCTCTGGCAGGAATCACTCAGCTGCGCTTCAAGCCTGCATACAATCCTTATACAGAGCCCAGCATGGAGGTTTTCAGCTATCACCAAGGTAAGTGCCAGGAAATAAGTAGATGCAGTTTGAAGAATTGAAGTGGGGACCTTTCCTCTGCTTTTTCTGTTGGGAAGTAAAGTTTCCCAATAGATTTATTTATTGTGTCAGGCAACCGAACAGTTGTATTACATTTTTGACAGAACAAACAAACAAACATATAAAAGACACAGAGTTTGCAAGCTTGGTAGTTGATTAAATGTCCTTTGACCAGTATCTGGCCACTTGGAGGGCTTCTGGTGTTGCCGCAAGAAGGTCCTCCATTGTGCATGAAGCAGGGCTCAGGTTGCATTGCAGCAGGTGGTCTGTAGTTTGCTCTTTTCCACACTCACATGTTGTGGATTCCACTTTATGGTCTCATTTCTTAAGGTTGGCTCTGCATCTCGTGGTGCTAGAGCGCAGTCTGTTCAGCGCCTTCCAAGTCACCCAGTTTTCTGTGTGCCCAGGGGGGAGTCTCTCATTGGGTATCAGCCATTGATTGAGGCTCTGGGTTTGAGCCTGGCACTTTTGGACTCTCACTTACTGAGGTGTAGATTTTAGAAAAATATTTCTTGATTTAAGTCGTTGGCGTGCTTGCTGATGCCCAAACAAAGGATGAGCTGGAGATGTCTCTGCCTTGGTCCTTTCACTATTGGCTGCTACTTCCCGGCGGATGTCAGGTGGTGCAATACCGGCTAAGCAGTGTAATTTCTCCAGTGGTGTAGGGCGCAGACACCCCATGATAATGCGGCATGTCTCATTAAGAGCCACATCCACTGTTTTAGTGTGGTGAGATGTGTTCCACACTGGGCATGCATACTCAACAGCAGAGTAGCATAGCACAAGGGCGGATGTCTTCACTGTGTGTCTGGTTGTGTTCCCCAGGTTGTGCCAGTAAGCTTTCGTATGATATTGTTCCCAGCACCCACTTTTTTGCTTGATATTCAGGCAGTGCTTCTTGTAGGTCAGGGCACGGTCCAGAGTGACTCCCAGGTATTTGGGTGCGCTGCAATGCTCCAGTGGGATTCCTTCCCAGGTGATCTTCAGAGCTCGGGATGATTGTCTGTTCTTGAGATGAAAAGTACATGTCTGTGTTTTAGATGGATTAGGGATCAGCTGGTTTTCCCTGTAGTAGGCAGTAAGAGTACTGTTGGCAGCGGCTGTAGTGTTTTTCAGGAAACAGAACAAGCTGTTTCAGCACTATGATCTCCACTGGGATTCTTACCGATGAGATATTTTAGCTTTCCATCTCAACTAGGAAAGCAGCTGCACACTAAATGCACAAAGGAATTCTGACGGTGCCCAGTTTAGTCTTTGATAATCCCCTTATGACTCATGCCATTGGGAAAAAAAACCTAGTCATCCTGATAATGGAAAAGCATCCTAATGTAGATGGTATTATCAACAACCCTGACATTCTAGCTTGTCACCTTTGTAGAAATTCTTGTTTCCCAGGTGGTCTAATTTGAAGAACATGCCCCATGTTTTTAAAGAATGGCATCCTAGCACTTCACATTAAATACAAGTTCAAGAGTCTACACCAGGGGTCCTCAAACTTTTTAAACAAAGGGCCTGGTCACAGTCTCTCAAACTGTTGGAGGGCCGGGTTATAATTTGAAAAAAACATGAATGAATTCCAATGCACACTACACATATCTTATTTGTAGTGCAAAAACACTTTAAAACAATACAATAATTAAAATGAAGAACAATTTTAACAAATATAAACTTATTATCTGCATGCCCATCCCCCTCCAAACTCCTCACCTTGTCATGCCCAACACTTTTAATTTTAATTATTACATTTGGCCCGGCCATTGTTTTAATTGCGTCATTAGGTGCTGTTAATGTTATTGCTTTGTTTTTTTTTGAGTTATTGCGTTGTTGTTGTTGCTGTTGTTTTTATTGTTGTATTTGGGCTCAGCCTCTTGTAAGCCGCATCGAGTCCTTCGGGAGATGGTAGCGGGGTACAAATAAAGGTTTATTATTAGTATTTCAATGGGAAGTGTGGACCTGCTTTTGGCTGGTGAGATAGAATTATTGTTGTGTACTTTCAAGTCATTTCAGACTTAGGTTGACCCTGAGCGAGGGCCAGATAAATGATCTTGAAGGGCCATATCTGCCCCCGGGCCTTAGTTTGAGGACCTCTGGTCTACACTGACTTAAAGTCCAGACATGTCATCTCTTTCAGATTTTAATCATACTTTAAAAATACTCCGTAGAACATGGCAGGATTTGTCAAAATATTTTAAAAGGCAATAGGAAACAGAATGTCATTTGATTCCTATTTGACAGGAAGGAGAGCCTAAGAAGATGGAAGATGCTTGTAAACATGTTTAAAAATGTCCACTCCTCTTTTCTACATTAATTTTGTGCCCAGTGTTTTAATCTTTCTTAACAGTGGCTCTAGAACTGGGACAGCAACTAAAATATGTGTGCCCTCATGTATGCGTGAGGGAGATAATATGCCCCCCCATTTTTTTCTCTATTTATATCTTGCCACCTCCCACATAAAACCCAAGACTTCAAAATGCAATGCTTGAATTGTCTTAGGCAGCCATTTGAACATGAAGTCAGTCTGCTCTCTTTGCCTTGTACCTTAATCTTTCTCATATTCTCCATGATAGCTGTGGGACTGAGCAAACTGTTACTCACTGTTTTCTCTTGATTTATAATAATAATAATAATAATAATAATAATAATAATAATAATAATAATAATATAATAAACCTTTATTTATACCCCGCTAACATCTCCCGAAGGACTTACAAGAAGAGGCCGAGGCCCAACACATCAATAAAACAACAGCATAACAAAATACAAACAATAAATAAACTCATAAAACAAGCAATAAACATTAAAACAATAGCAATAAACATTAGACAATATGACACATTTAAAACTAAGGCTGGGCCAAATGTAATGATTAAAATTTTAAAATGCTGGGCATGATAGGTGAAATGGATAGGTTTTTGGAGATAAGTGCGGTGTGCAGACAATCGTAAATCTCTAGTAAAGTGCATTTGGGACATGATGCTTGGAGTTTCCTATTCTGGGAAGGCACACTGGAACAACCACGTCTTCAAGCTCTTCCTAAAGACTACCAACATTGGGGCTTGTCTGATGTCCTTGGGGAGAGAGTTCCAGAGTCGGGGGATTTAAGGTGTGAAAATATTGAGACATTTATTTCTGTACTTTTTACATATAAATACAACATATGATCATCCCCATCTCTACCACCCCACCCCCCCCATAATGAGCTCTCCTCTGCAAATTACCTGCTTTTCTCTCTTATCTCGCCTGAGTTTTTAATTAGTTTTAATCAGTTTGTCTTTTAATCATTACATGTAGCTCACCCATTGTTATTGTGCCTGTGCTTATTGTAATTTCTACATTGTTATGTATGCATATGCTTTATATAAATATGAAAATTGTTTGCGTTTTTGGTTTGTGTTTTGGTTTTTTCTTTATTGTAATTGTTGTTTGGGCTTGGCCTCATGTAAGCCACTCCAAGTCCCCATCGGGGAGATGGTGGCGGGGTATAAATAATGTTTATTATTATTATCTCTATCTTGGCCTTCCAAGATACTGTGGAAATCTCCTGCCTTCCATAGGAGATCCCCACAGTAATTTGACTCACGTCCCACAAGTGTGTGCAAATTGGATTTCTGCAATCAGCTTGAAACTTGTTTATAAGGAGTCCTGATGCTGCCCAAGACCTTAGGCTAAGTTGTCTGCTTTGCTCACTTCCCTACCTTAACACTATAACAAACTGCCACTTTCTTGCAGGATTGAAGAAATGGGTGGAAGTGGGCAATTCAGGAGTCTTCCGCCCAGAAATGTTGCTTCCCATGGGCTTGCCAGATGGGGTGTCTGTCATCGCCTGGGGACTATCTCTTGAGCGGTGAGTATCTTTGAGTCTTGAGAAGATGGACTAACCCTTTTGGTCCACTTTAGAATTATCTTTTTAGATTGTATCCTGTCAGAAGGCCTATGCATGCTCCAGGTATTTTGAACTTTAACTCCCAGAAATCCCAGCCAGCTTCCTGGCTGTTAGGAATTGTGGGAGCTTAAGTCCAAAACACTTGGAGGGCTGAAGTTTGTCCATGCCTGGCTTGTAGGCTGTGGATGTCTCTGTGATAGGGACCAAATGCTTCCCAAACTCACATTGCACTCTTCTTAGTCTCTTAAGTCGGCAGGAACTGAAGTTAATCTAAACAAACCTTTCGTCTGCTATTGGCACCTTGTGTCTCTGAGGCTCTAATCTCTGCCATGAGACTGGATGACCCAAGCCATGTGTCCTCCTCACCTCTGGAGGATTAGACCTCATTCACCTCTTGACCCGGAACACAGTCAGCAGGTTATTTACCCGGATCAAACTGGTGGAGCGGCATCAGCACCATGCAGGGATCATGGGCAAGGGTGTGCCCTTGGCTGTTTTATTAGAGGTTTTGAATGGCGTTATGCACGGTTAGGCTTTCAGAGAACCTCAGATTACACTTTTGCTTGTACATAGCTGCTCTTTTTCCTACATTTTTGCTAGTATGTAACTGGGGTTATTATTTTTTTATTGTGACCTTTTCATACTGACCCCAGTATTTTTTGTGTTTATAAAACATTTCCAAGGAATTCCTCCTGAGACCTCTCTTCCTCTTTTCCAGTCCTACCATGATCAAGTATGGCATCAATAATATTCGGGAGTTGGTTGGTCACAAGGTCAATCTGCAGATGGTATATGACAGCCCGCTCTGCCGCTTGGATGCCTAAGTTCAAGACTCTTCCCTCTTTCTTCAGACCTATTTATTACTGCTTATCCTTGCTGGAACATTGGGGTCTTTCACAGTTCTGGATGGCAAAGCGGAGTAGTTGAAAAGCTGCCCAAGACTGCATCTTTACAGAGGAATGGTGACTCTCTACTTGCAATCCCAAATTGTATGGATTAAATATGTCTCAGTGCAAGGCAGGATTGGTGGCTGCTTTAGTTTCTGATGCTCTTGCAGTGTAGCTAGGCAATGTTTCTACCATGTCCGGTTGAAGAATAACATATTTGCATAAATGTCTGCACTTTTCATTGTCTTCTGGCATTCCTTCTTAAAAACCTGAATTTCAGAGGGAGGGAATGACTGGGGCTAGGAGAGAAACTCACTTGCTCTCTATGGAGACAGAGAAAACCAGCTGTGTGTCATTTCCCCATCTCGCACTGCTTCTGTAACTCTGTCCTCTAATCACTTCCTATGAATTCCTCTTCCCCGCCACATAATTTTGTTTGTAAAGTATATCACTTCTAAACTCTAAAATTACAACAGCAAAACAACAGAAACAATCTGGGACATCTGTTCACCTCTCACCAAAAGATTGCCCCAGGCACTGCCAGGCCATCAAATGCTAATCAAGGTGGTCAGTTGAAACATTCACACCTAGCTCCAGCAGACAAGAGTCCTTTGTCCCACCCTGGTCATTCCACAGATATATAAACCCCTTTTCCTAGTTCCAACAGACCTCACTACCTCTGAAGATGCTTGCCATAGATGCAGGTGAAATGTCAGGAGATAATGCCTCTAGAACATGGCCATATAGCCCGAAAAAACGTACAACAACCCAGTGATTCCAGCCATAAAAGCCTTCGACAATCTATATAAATAAAAATGTAATGTTCGTTTGTGGTATTCACTGAACTCAAAAACCCCTGGAAGAATTGACACCAAATTTGGACACAAGACACTTAACAACCCAATGTATGTCTTTCACTCAAAAAAATTGATTTTGTCATTTGGGAGTTGTAGTTGCTGGGATTTATAGTTCACCTACAACTCTACACGAAGACTCAATATGCCCAAATGTGAACACTGGTGGAGTTTGGGGGAAATAGAATCTTGGCATTTGGGAGTTGTAGTTGCTGGGATTTGTAGTTCACCTACAATCACAGAGCATTCTGAACCCCACCAACAATAGAATTGGGCCAAACCTCCCACACAGAACCCCCATGTGGGCCACAGCAACGCATGGCAGGGGATGGCTAGTACATATTTAACTTCTCCTTCTTGCCTCTAGTCCCTTTGTTCCTTCCGAAACAGAAGACCTACAGACAAGATATTTGTTTTCTCCTCAAAATGTATGTCAGAGGAATATCTGGGGCATAATAGTACATCTGTGACTTTTTCAACACTGAAGGATACATTCTTGATTAGGTTCATGGGAACTGATTTTGGAAAGGAATCTGTAGGCATTTTGGCACCATGCACATAACACTATTTAACATGATTTTTGTTCCTGGGTTATAAATGTCATTTCTGAATTGGTTCTATCAAAAAATGGAAGAAAAAGTTTATTAAACTGCAAAAAAAAAAAAAAAAAAAAAAGGAAAAAAAAAGTACAATTTGCTATAGTTTTTCAATGAATGTCTCATAGTCTTGACCGCTTCAACATAGTTTGTGGCAGCCACAAAAACGAGGTTTCTGGAGTATAACAACTACTTTCAAAGTAAGTACTGGACAATTAAACAGGAAATAACACTATCGAACAATTTAAAAAATAGTTACATAATGTAATTTTCCTACTTCCTTTGTCTTCAGTTTTCAGAATCCTTAGAGAAAAATGTTTACTAATGGGCAGAATTGAGATGTACTGGACATGTTGCCAAGCTTAGGTTTGACAAGGATCGGTACTTTGTCAAAAAGGAGCAGATGTAGGTGGGTGCTAAAGAATAATAACTAATGGGTTGTAGGTTTTTTCGGGCTATATGGCCATGTTCTAGAGGCATTCTCTCCTGACGTTTTGCCTGCATCTATGGCAAGCATCCTCAGACCTCACAACCCCTGAGAATGCTTGCCATAGATGCAGGCGAAACGGCAGGAGAGAATGCCTCTTGAACATGGCCATATAGCCCGAAAAAACCCTACAACAACCCAGTGATTCCGGCCATGAAAGCCTTCGACAATACAATGACAATACAATGTCAAGGGGTATAGTGAAACAAGGAAAAATAATTAAGCAAATAAATAAAAATAAATAAATAAACAAACAAGGAAAAGTGAATAGCAGGTCTTTATTGTACCAAAATTGTCTTTAACATGGCAGAGCTACAGGAATCACACTTGTCCTCTCAAAACCTTGGTTGTTCTGCCTGCCAGTAGGAAGACTCCCCAGTGGAAGCTGTGTTCTGATGGCTGCTCTTTTTTTTTTCACAGGCTTTGCCTTGTTGTCCTAGGTATGATCTTACTCCTTCTCGTAGACGAGTCAATACAAGCCATATAGCACCAAGAATTTAGGCTACTTCATGGCCCTTAGTTGGTGGGCAGAAGTCCAAGAACTCTCCCCTCCATTCTTTGTAGCATCAAGAAAGATCTGGGGCTGTTTAGACCAAAGCTCGGTCTGGCCATGGTCTAAAGGAAAGACTCCTGGAAGTTGAATTAACATCACACAGGAATTGGTTCCAGGATGGCAACAACTAGCAGTCATTGACAGTATATGAGGTAGCTGCCTCAGAACAGTTGCTTACTCCTTGATATGCTTGGCTAGCCCCTTCTTCTTGGCTGTTGTGCTTGTTCCTTCCCACTTAGCTCAGGAAGCCAAGAACTCTGGCGTTCGCCTTCGTTTTCTGCAAGGCTATTTCTCATTTTCCACAGTTTTTAGGTTGTCTGTGGTATCTCCTCTAGGGTTATATGTACTTCTGCAGCATGGTGTGTTGAGCAGGTGCATGGACGAGTCTTGGCCAGGAGGGAGGGCTGGAAGCCTGAAAAGGGTAAAGGCTCAATCTCTTCTTTGTCAGGTTCCTCAGGCTGTGGTCCCAGCAGACAGTCTAGAAGGAAACATGAAAGAGTAATAATAACAACAACAATAATAATGGTAACCCTTTATAGGATGCGCTGTCTCCCCAGGGGGACTCAGGGCAGCTTCCAAACAAAAAGGCAAACATTCAATACCTTGTTTGCCTTCCACCAAAGCTCTTCTCTTATCCTACTTCAACCTAGTAGTATCAATGGAAGAGTAATAATAACAACAACAATAATGGTAAACCTTTTTAGGATACGCTATCTCCCCAGGGGGACTCAGGGCCGCTTCCAGACAAAAAGGCAAACATTTCATGCCTTGTTTGCCTTCCACCAAAGCTCTTCTCTTATCATACTTTAGCCTAGTAGTATCAATGGTGTGCGACAGCCATTCTTCCAAAGACTGAATCTGGGATTGTGCACATGCAAACTACAGCAGATGCTGCACTGTCATGGGTGTTAGGAGCACAGGACATCTGTGAAAGTGGAGGAAAAAAACCCACAAAAATGCTATTTCTTTTACTCAAGAAAACACTTTTCTAGTAATCTCTTCATCCCCCAGCAAAACTCTATTTTCAGTTCTCATTGGAGAGAACATATTAATCAAAGTCAGACAATTCAAAATGTGATTGGCGGACTGTCCTCTAAAACAGGGGGTCTTGTGGTACTCCTAACTCCTGCCAGAATAAGATGGAATAACTAGTAGCTGGGAATTAGCTGTCTAGACACATCTGATGATCAGGAAATCTTTTTAAAGATATACTTCCTTTTTGTGAAAAGAAGAGGAATTAGCACATCTAGGAAAAGGCTAGTGCAGCTATCCTGAGTATCAATCTTATTTGTTGTAATATCAAATGCAGCTGCTGATCTTTAGCAAAGTAGACCCCTTCAGCCGTTATGCATCTTCTTGATGCATTTTCTTCACAGCCATCAGAGAGAAGCAAAGATTTTTCTGTATTTAAGTATAATGGGGACCGTTGGGCAAATGAATTAAGGCATTATTAATCTGGTGGGATAGATGGGTCTCCCTTTGCATTCGCTTCAAAGTTTCACACCAGCTGATTACTTTGTTTTAGAGGTGTATACAAATTCAGCTGAATTTATAGCATACAATTTAATGAAAGGGGAGGACAAACTATCGTATCTCCTTCTACGTCCCACCTCGGAGCTTAAGATCCTCTGGGGAGGCCCTGCTCTTGGCCCCGCCGTTGTCTCAAACACGTTTGGTGGGGACGAAGGACAGGACCTTCGCGTTGGTAGCCCCCCGCCTGTGGAATATGCTTCCCGGGAAAATTAGATCATCGTCATCCCTCCTCACCTTCAGAAAGAAGGTAAAATTGTGGTTGTGAGACCAGGCCTTTGGGCAATCAGGTTAAAGGACAATGGATAATATTTGACTATGGCTTGGAAGTGGATTTGGATAAGTGAAGCGGAATAATCATTAGTATCCAGCTAGATAAATAGCCACCAGTCTGGCAATAGCTAAATGGATTGTAAGTATACTGTTTAATTTTTATTTTAATGTTCATGGTTTTAATTGCTATTTTTGCGATTGTATTTTATGAAGCGGCATTGAATTGTTGAGAAATTGTAAGCCGCCCTAAGTCCCCCTAGGGGTTGAGAAGGGTGGGGTAAAAACTGTTCGGAATAAATAAATAAATAAATAATGCACTTGAATAGATGTTTAAATTCTCTGACAATGCAGCTAGGATAAGCAAAATTTATTTCTTGATAGCTTGATTATATGGGCTGGTTGCAGAAAATACCTTTTAGTCTTCTCCTGCATTCATGCCATTGCTGACTGCATTGTGAATAGTTTAAATTCATTTTGTGATGCTATCTGTCATTAATCTTCAAAACGGTCCTTAGGTTCAGGCAGAGTCAAAAAGTTGCCTATTGTGACTTCTGATAGATAAGCATGCTTACGAGTTGCATTCAGCCTACCATCTCAAAGTCAACTGTTCTAAGCTGTAGCTTCCAAACAACTTAGTGGAGCAACAATGCAGTTACCCTTCTGATTCTGGCTTTCTCCAAATTAAAAACATATCAAAATGTATTACAAAATGCACATGTTATTATAAAACTAATTATTCTATATATTTTAAATACCCACGGATTCATGTGGAAATGGGATTGAATAATCCAACCATATTCCAACAGCTAAAAGAAAAGGGCTGTAGGGAGAAGAGAATCTGTATACTACAGTGGTTGGGTGTTGGACTATGACTGGAAAACCAAGGTTTGAATGTCCACTGGGCCATAGAAATCCACTGGGTGACCCTGGATAAACCCATCTTAGAAAGCAGGTAGTGACAAACCCATTCTGAGAAAATACTGCCAAAAAAAAAAAAAAAAACCCATGCAAGGGTTGCCCTGAGTCAGACATGACTTGAAGCTATACAATAACAAGAAGTAAAGGACAAAAACATTCATAATGTTATACTTATCTTAGAAGCTTCAACTCTTCCTCTTATTCCCGTAAAACCTGAAGATTCCTTTTTCTAGGACAGTGGTTCCTAACCTTTGGTCCTCCAGGTGTTTGAACTTCAACTCCCAGAAATCCCAGACAGCTTAAAAGGTGGGTTGTTGTAGGGTTTTTTGGGCTATATGGCCATGTTCTAGAGGCATTCTCTCCTGACGTTTCGCCTGCATCTCTGGCAAGCATCCTCAGAGGTAGTGAGGTCTGTTGGAATTAGGAAAATTGGGTTTATATATCTGTGGATTGACTAGGGTGGGACAAAGCCAATTTTCCTAGTTCCAACAGACCTCACTGCTTGCCACAGATGCAGACGAAATGTCAGGAGAGAATGCCTCTAGAACATGGCCATATAGCCCAAAAAAACCCTACAACAACCCAGTGATTCCAGCCATGAAAGCCTTCGACAATACAGCTTAAAAGCTGTTAGGAATTGTGGAAGCTAATGTCCAAAACACCTGGAGGACCAAAGGTTGGGGAACCACTGACCTAGGATTAATCTATCCCAATATTTTACCCTTTTCACCACTAACATATTGGAATTGAACATTTTCTGCCAGTTTTGTTTACATCTGAAAACAATGTGTTAATTTGTCTTATCTGCAGCTTGTACCTGAGATTCACAGTCAGTTGCTGGTGTTTAAGAGTAAACAAAGCTCTAGGATACTGGTTCCCAACCTGTGGGTCCCCAGGTGTTTTGGCCTACAACTCCCAGAAATCCCAGCCAGTTTACCAGCTGTTAGGATTTCTGGGAGTTGAAGGTCAAAACATCTGGGGACCCACAGGTTGAGAACCACTGCTCTAGAAAACAAATCCTGTAAACAAAACCATCTCACACACAGCTATCAAGCACAGCACAATTGAGCCGCACTGGAAAGCATGAAAGTATTCCAAAGCTGGTCACTCGTATATCTACATAATTGTGATTTAACATAAGCACAGGACAAAACCCTCACATATATTAACAATTTTCATTCAATTCAAAAGCAAGTTTTTAGCCCTTATACCAGAGCTTTCCAAAGTGTGTGTTGTGACAAATAAGTGTATCGGCTGCAGTGTGCAGGTAAATGTAATAAGAAACTTCTGAGCCCATGTGTAATATGCAATAAATTGTATATTTTTAAAAAACGCATGTTGTGTTTCATTATTACAATGTATGTATGTGTCTGGTTCTCTTGTAAGAGGCTGATTTAACCTGTTTGCTAGTAAAACTGAATTACTATGCCTCAAAATGATGGACGTCTAACCAATCTATATAAATAAAAATGTAATGTTCGTTTGTGGGATTAACATAACTCAAAAACCACTGGGGGGAATTGACACCAAATTTAGACACAAGACACCTAACAATGTATGTCCTTCACTCAAAAAAAATATGATTTTGTCATTTGGAAGTTGTAGTTGTTGGGATTTATAGTTCACCTACACTCAAAGAATATTCTGAACCCCCACTAATGATGGAATTGAACCAAACTTGGCACACAGAACTCCCATGACCAACAGAAAATACTGGGAGGGTTTTGTGGGCAGTGTCCTTTGGTTTTGGAGTTGTAGTTCACCTACATCCAGAGATCAAACAATGATGGATCTGGACCAAATTCTACACAAATACTCAATATGCCCAAATGTGAACACTGGTGGAGTTTGGGGAAAATAGAATCTTGACATTTGGGAGTTGTAGTTGCTGGGATTTATAGTTCACCTACAATCACAGCGCATTCTGAACCCCACCAATGATAGAATTGGGCCAAACCTTGCACACAGAACCCCCATGTGGGCCACAGCAATGCATGGCAGGGGACGGCTAGTGTGAAATATTTAGTAAGCTCTGCTTTATAGGAGGGTGGAATTCTTTTTTAAAGGTTGTGGGCAATACTCTTTCAACAAGCATTGCCCACACCTTTTTAAACATCATTTCAGTGTCATACAACCTGAAGATAGGATTAAGTACCTATTACTTTGGTGCCTTTTCCATTACCTTGTTCCTTCCCTTAAGAAGACACAAAAATACTGGGCAATATAATAAAAATACACTATTTTACAGGTTATGCTTTCCTTGGCACTGCATCAGTATTTATTCTTCAAGGCAATTTCAATAGAAGGTACAACTTATTGTCTGTCCCTTGCCTGACCACGGAGTGTGGTGGAGGCTCCTTCTTTGGAAGCTTTTAAACAGAGGCAGGATGGCCATCTGTCAGGGGTGTTTTGAATGCAATATTCCTGCTTCTTGGCAGGAGGTTGGACTGGATGGCCCATGAGGTCTCTTCCAACTCTTTGATTCTATGATTCTATGACTTACCTGCCAGGTCATGTGCCAAGTCCTTGATCAAGTGGCCAACAATGGCATAGGCCACACCCACCACCACAGCAGCAGCCATGAGCATGTAAAGCACAGCTTTGGGTATAGGAAGGAGGTCATAGACAGGCGGTTGATAGTCGCTGTAAAGAGGGCTCTCATTGGAGGGAGGAGGAGAGTGCTGCAATAGTAGTGCTAAGGCCTCTGTGCGGTTTGCAGCAGTCATGTTCACTGGCCAGGTTTGAGAACCAAGCTCCATGCCCTGGAAATGTGGAACGTGGCTTCTTGATGGACAGGTATCTGCAGGGGTAGGGGAAGTCTGAAACAAGCAACAAGAAACAAAATACTTGTGACCTACAGCCTGATACCATTTGTGGAAACCAAAGTTCTTTCTAAATATCTAAATCTGAGTATAAAAGCAGTTGTCTTCCCAGTGTTTGTAGCCATGGATCCACATGTCTACAGCACCGCTTCTTAAATTGTGGGTCCAGTCCTCAAATGGGCCACCTTAGCTCAATGTTGGGGTCATGAAAAATTTGACAACAGTAAACAGTTGCTGAATGACACCCATGAATACAAATCTGTTAGCAACAACATACAGTGTTTATAATGGATTCATCTGTACTCCACAAAAAGGAAAATCAGCCTGTTTAGCAAGTTTTGCAAATGCTGATTAATTATCTGTAAATTATCTGTAATTATCTGTTTTATTTTTAGACCTATGTTATATATACCTATATACAGGGTGAGGCAGCATAAGTTCCTTTTTAAAAATGCGCGCCATTCAGTCGGTTGAAGACGTAGCGGAGCGCTAGTGGTCTCGTTCGAGAGGCGGGAGTATCAAGTTTTGTCCTGACAGTTCAGTCGCCATCATGCGTTGGAACAGTGAGGAGTGTGCTTTAGCCATTGAGGCCTACTTTTCGAGCGGATTTGGAGTGGCCGGCCCGTTTTCCAGATTTGGCCCCTTGTGATTTTTTTCTATGGGTTTTTTTGAAATCCCGTGTTTATGTGAACCGTCCAAGGACCCTACAAGATCTGAAGACCAACATCCAGGAAGAAATTGCCAACATAATGCCTGCTATTGCTGGCAAGAGTCATGACAAACGCAGAAATCGGTTTACTCAGTGTATGGAGAATGGGGGACGTCACCTACTTAATATGATCTTCAAAACTACGTAAAACAAAACTTTAGGGATGCTCCTACATTATATAAAAAATTAAAAAATCTGATTCATTCAATGGGTTTTATTAAGTTTTGAAAAAAAGAAGTTATGCTGCTGTACCCTGTACTTGGGGTCATAGAAAACATTCTTGGGCAGAAAGGTCACAAGTGGAAAAAGTTTAAGAAACTTTCCAAAACCCTGTTCTGACTAGTGTGATAGGGCTGGTTCAAAATTAAAACAGCTCTGAGTGGGGAAAAATGCCCTGAAGGGTGCAGAAGAAGAAGGCAGAAGGCAATCCTCTGGAAAATAGAAAATGATATTAATGTCAAGAAATAGATCAGCTGAAGCATAGCTGAGACTTTAGATAAAACCTACATCTATGCTATGCAATTTCTTAAGTGGGTTCACATGATGACATACTTCTCCAAACAAACATGTGCATGCAGAACACGTCCGTAGTCAAGGGGGGGGGGGCTTGAGGGGCTTCAGCCCCCCCCCCCTCCCAAAATTCTCAGGGTTGTCCGCGAGAAGGCCTGACTGGTATATTATTTAAACTATTATGTTTATTCATATCATGATCTGATTACCATGTTCAATATATCCCATATGCATGGGGGTATTGGGATAATGATACAAAAGGTTTGCTAGGGCAGATCCTGAGCCAGCCCCCCGCCCCCCGCCCCCCACATCAAAATCCTGGCTATGGGCCTGATGCAGAAAATGGGTTGTTGCACAGGGGGAGGGGCAGATTTTATCCTACTCTTTATAAATAAAGATTATTATTATTATTATTATTATTATTATTATTATTATTACTACTACTACTACTACTACTCACTTATATAGACTGCTTTTTTTTAGAGGAATAATGTCATTCTGTAGAAAAACATACAGCTAGGACAAGAGGGCTCCAGCAAAGGATCACTGCCTTGTCACGGCGCTAGAGCTTGAGCACTTCAATGATGCCACGAACAAAACTGTGAAGGGACATCCAAGACAGGATGGTCATGGCAGAGAGGTCAGACCAAACGAGATCCCTAGGGAAGGTAATGGTACCCCACCCCAGTATTCTTGCCAAGAAAACTAAATGGATCAGTACAACCAGAGATATGTCGGTATGCCATCGGAAGACCGGACTCCCAGGTTGGAAGATGGTCAAAATGCTAAAAAGAAAGAGGGACCAACCAGGGCAAGATGGATTGGTGGTATCCTTGAAGTGACTGGCTTGACCCTGAAGGAGCTGGAGGTGGTGACAGCCGACAGGGAGCTCTGGCATGGGCTGGTCCATGAGGTCACGAAGAGTTGGAAGCGATTGAACGAATGAACAACAACAAAAAAGGACAAGAGGAATGTATTAAAAAGAAATGGAACTCCCCCCAACTTCTTCATGGTCTGTTTTTCCTGCCAAATCCTAAAATGAACTAAATAAAAATATAATGTTCGTTTGTGGGATTAACAGAACTCAAAAACCACTGGGAGAATTGACACCAAGTTTGGACACAAGACACCTAACAACCCAATGTATGTCCTTCACTCATAAAAACACTGAAAAACACAGCAGAAGGGACTTAAAAAGCCCCAAAAAGCTAAATGATGAAAAGGTAAATGACAACACAGAAAAAAGGGAAGAAAGAGGGAGGGAAAGAAAGAAAGAAGGAAGGAATGAGAGAAAGAAGCATGGAAGCAAAGAGAGAAGGAAGGAAGGAAAGGCAGAGAAGGAAGAAAGAGAAAGAGGGAGGGAAAGAAAAGGGGAAGGAAGGAAAGTTAGAGAAGGAAGGAAGGAGAGAAGGAAAGAAAAAAGAGAAAGAAGGAATGAAAGAGGGAGAGAAGGAAGGGGGAAGATGTAGAGAAAGAGGGAAGGAGGGAAAGAGATAGAGAAGGAAGGAAGAAGAGGAAAGACGGAAAGGAAGGAAGGAAAGAGGGAGTGAAGGAAGGAGGGAAAGAAGGAGGGAAAGAGGGAAGGTTGGCCACAGCAACGCATGGCGGATACAGCTAGTATTAGTATAAAATATTGCCAGAATGAAAAGCAGAATTATAAGATTACACTTCTCAAGCAAAAGAGACATCTTCATTCTGAAGATAAGGGTGTATCCATGCTGTAAAATGAATGCGGTTTGACACCACTATAACTGTCACAGCTCAGTGCTAAGGCACCACAAGGGTTGTAGTTTTAGAAGTCCTTTAGCCTTATCTGTGAAATAGGGCTGCTGCCTCCCCAAATTACAACGCCCATGATTTCATAGCATTGAGCCATGGCACTTAAAGTGGTTGCTCTTCAATATATTGGTTACTCAGTCTTTGAAGTTTCACATGACTTCTTTATCACTGACTACACCAGGGAGAAAAGACTGGGTAAAATGGCAGCCAGCATGGTGTTCTTGGTTTCAGAGTTGGACTATGACTCTGGAAGCCAGGTTTCCATTCCTCGCTTGGCCATGGAAACTCCAGAGTCAGTCTAAGCCCCCTTCCACGCAGCTGAATAAAATTCCACATTTTCTGTTTTGAGCTGGACTATATGGCAGCGTATGGCAAGACTGCATCCTCTCACCCAACCTTTTTAACTTGTTTGCAGAACACATCATGCGATGTGCGGGGCTGGATGAATGCAAAGCTGGGGTGAAAATTGCTGGAAGAAACATTAACAACCTCAGATATGCAGACGACACCACTCTGATGGCCGAAAGCGAGGAGGAGCTGAGGAGCCTTCTAATCAAGGTGAAAGAAGAAAGCGCAAAAGCTGGGTTGCAGCTAAACATAAAAAAAACCCAAGATTATGGCAACAAGAATGATTGACAACTGGAAAATAGAGGGAGAAAACATGGAGGCAGTGACAGACTTTGTATTTCTAGGTGCAAAGATTACTGCAGATGCAGACTGTGGCCAGGAAATCAGAAGACGCTTACTTCTTGGGAGGAGAGCAATGTCCAGTCTCGATAAAATAGTAAAGAGTAGAGACATCAGACTGGCAACAAAGATCCGCCTATTCAAAGCCATGGTATTCCCTGTAGTAACCTACGGATGTGAGAGCTGGACCTTAGGGAAGGCTGAGCGAAGGAAGATCGATGCTTTTGAGCTGTGGTGCTGGAGGAAAATGCTGAGAGTGCCTTGGACTGCGAGAAGATCCAACCAGTCCATCCTCCAGGAAATAAAGCCCGACTGCTCACTGGAGGGAAAGATACTAGAGACAAAGTTGAAGTACTTTGGCCACATCATGAGGATACAGGAAAGCCTAGAGAAGACAATTATGCTGGGGAAAGTGGAAGGCAAAAGGAAGAGGGGCCGACCAAGGGCAAGATGGATGGATGGCATCCTTGAAGTGACTGGACTGACCTTGGAGGAGCTGGGGGTGGTGACGGCCGACAGGGAGCTCTGGCGTGGGCTGGTCCGTGAGGTCACGAAGAGTCGGAGACGACTGAACGAATGAACGACGACGATATGGCAGCGTGGACTCAGATAATCCAGTTCAAAGCAGATATTGTAGGGGTTTCTGCCTTAATATTCTGGGTTATATGGCTGAGTGGAAGGCCTTGCTGTCATTGTGGGGGTTTTAATCAGGTCCTTTCCATCTGGTGCAGTCAGTCACTATGGACCCTTCTACACTGCCATATCTATATAAATAAAAATGTAATGTTCGTTTGTGGGATTAACAGAACTAAAAAACCATTGGGGGAATTGACACCAAATCTGAACACAAGAAACCTAGTAACCCAAGGAGTGATCATCACTCAAAAAATTGATTTTGTCATTTGGGAGTTGTAGTTGCTGGGATTTATAGTTTATTTACAATCAAAGAGCATTCTGAACACCACCAATGATGGAATTGAACCAAACTTGGCACACAAGACTTCCATGACCAACAGAAAACACTAGAAGGGTTTGGTGGGCATTGACCTTGAGTTTGGGAGTTGTAGTTCACCTACATCCAGAAAGCACTGTGGACTCAAACAATGATGGATCTGGACCAAAATTGGCACAAATATTCCATATGCCCAAATATGAACAGAGATGGAGTTTGGGGGAAATTGACTTTGACATTTGGGAGTTGTAGTTGCTGGGATTTACAGTTCACGTACAATCAGAGAGCATGCTGAACCTCACCAATGACAGAATTGGGGCAAATTTCCCACACAGAACCCCCATACTTAAGGCCATCCAGTCTATAGTAAAATTCAAAGATATCTGGGCAGGGGGGAACAAAGAATCCCACCACTGCCACCAAAGCAAGGGATGATAAAGTATTATAAATGACCGATGTTATTGGTAGTATTAGCCGCCACCACCTCAGCTTTATTGGTCTGAGGAACCAAAGGTGTGAATGTGTTGTAGGTAAAGGTGTGTTTGCCCTGGGTATCTTCTATTACCCCTTAACTGGTTGACTGGACTTCAAAAGTGCTTGACAGACTGAGGCTTACACCAGCTAAAAGTGAACTAGAAATAGTTTATTGAGCTTTAAACAAACATCTACTCATAGAATGAGCGGTACAGAAGCGTAATTCAGTGGTAGAGACTTATTTGGATTAAACAGTTAGATCTACTGACAAATAAAGCTTTTATTAACTGTGAGTTTCCTTAAACACACTGCTCTATCCTTAGAAACAGTATCACTTGGAGAACAGACTCCTATCTGTCTCTCCCACAGGGCAATAAGATATCTTAAACTTCTCCTAAGTTTAATTAGACAAAACTCTCTTTTACTGGTCCCCTTAACACAGTAAAACCCTAGCCTTTGTCCCAACCTTATTCCCTAACCTTAAGGCTCACTTTAAAAACTCTTCTTCCCTGTCAGAACTCTATCTAGCTTCCTCTCCTCAAATCCTATCCTTCTGTGTCTCATGTCAAGACACTTCTCTCTCTCTCAAAAGCTGACAGCTTATTTCCCTCTCTCAACCGACTCCTCCCCTAATTGCTCTGACCCAATCAGGAATCGGCTTGACTCCTCCTCCTGCTTCTGCCTGCCTTTCAAGATGAAAGCTACTGATATTCAGGCTTTGGCCTGGTCGCCTAAAAGGTAGATTTCACTACACAGTCCAACTCCCTTAACCATGACAAGAAAACATAATCAAAGCCCTCCTGACAAAGAGCCATCTCTATATATATATGATTCACACACACAGATATAGTTTCATAGATTTGAAAGGGACCCCTAAAGAAGGACAATTATATGTTGCATGTTCCAAAATAGGCAAACCAAACAATCTCCACATCAACACTGACAAAGAAACAACAAGAAACATTGTTTACCCACAAGCATAAAAGACATTACATATATTAGAAACCAATACCTTCTCATTACTTTATTTTCCAGATCATCAGACTGGGCCACAGCAACGCATGGCAGGGGACGGCTAGTAATCTATATAAATAAAAATGTAATGTTCATTTGTGGGATTAACATAACTCAAAAACCACAGGAAAAATTGACACCAAATTTGGACACAATATACCTATCAGGCCAATGAGTGACCATCATTCATAAAAATACTGAAAAACGCAGCAGAAGAGACTTAAAAAGCCAAAAATAAAAAATACATTACAACGTATGTGTAAAACCATATATATGCAAACATACATATATACACAAATATATACACACACATATACACATATATACACACACAAAACATATATACACAGACAGGGCGGCAGCAGTGTGTGGCATGGGACGGCTAGTCCAGAATATCAAGTCAAATAATCCATATTATCTGCTTTGAACTGGATTATCTAAGTCTACATTGCCATATAATCCAGTTCAAAGCAGATAACCTGGATTTTATACAGCTGTGTAGAAGGGGCATAAGAAATCATGTGGGACTTCAAGGAGTAACCAATATATTGACCATAACCATGAATGACTCAGCAGCTACTTGCTTAAATTAATTTTATCACAAAATTCATTTTGTTACAACCTACATGTTGTGTTACATGGGTTTTTTTTTTATGTCAGGAGCGAATTGAGAAACTGCAAGTTGCTTCTGGTGTGAGAGAATTGGCCATCTGCAAGGACATTGCCCAGGGGATGCCTGGATGTTTTGATGTTTTATCATCCAGTGGGAGGCTTCTCTCATGTCCCCACATGGGAAGCTAGAGCTGACAGACAGGAGCTCATCTTGCTACTTGGATTTGAACTGCCAACCTTTTAGTCAGCAGTTCAGCCGGCACAAGGGTTTAACCAATTGCGCCACCAGGGGCTACTTGTATTACATGGTGTAAGGCAAAGTTTGGACTACAGCCAACATAGGTGAATAGGGGATTCTTGAAGTTGTAATTTAAAAAATGCGAGTGCAGCATTTTTCCAAATGAAGCAGAGAGTGTTTGAAGACTGGGACATCCGTAGGGATACCAAGGTGCTTGTTTATAAAGCTATTGTCCTCCCAACCCTGTGAAACATGGACTGTCCACATATGTCACATGCAACTCCTGGAACGATTTCATCAGCGCTGCCTCCAGAAAATCCTGCAAATCTCTTGGGAAGACAAGTGGACAAATGTCAGCGTGCTGGAAAAAACAAAGACCACAAACATTGAAGCGATGGTCCTCCGCCATCAACTCCGCTGGACTGGCCACGTTGTCCGGATGCCTAACCACCATCTCCCAAAGCAGTTGCTCTGCTCCGAACTTAAGAATGGAAAACGGAAAGTTGGTGGGCAGGAAAAGAGATTTAAAAGTGGGCTCAAAGCCAACCTTAAAAACTCTGGCATAGACACTGAGAACTGGGAAGCCCTGGCCCTTGAGTGCTCCAGCTGGAGGTCAGCTGTGACCAGCAGTGCTGCAGAATTTGAAGAGGCACGAATGGAGGGCAAAAGAGAGAAATGTTCCAAGAGGAGGGCACGTCAAGCCAACCCCGACCAGGACCGCCTTCCACCTGGAAACCAATGCCCTCACTGCGGGAGAAGATGCAGATCAAGAATAGGGCTCCATAGTCACTTACGGACCCACCTTGGAGGATTATCCTACTCGGACAACAAGGGATCGCCTAAGTAAGTAAGAAAGTAATTTAAAAAACAGCTTTCCCCTAAAGGATCTTTTATCAGTTTGTTGTTGTTAACTGCTATCAAGTTTACTTTGGCTTATGACAACCCTATGAATGAAGAGAGGTTTCCAAGTCCTACCATCAAATGCCCTGTTCAAGTCCATTTAGTTCCTAGAAAAGAGTAATATTTTGGGAATCTTTAAAACACTCTTCTATGATTAGAAGTGCCGTTTCCCATTCCTCAACATGGGAGTGCTGTGATGTACTATCGAAATGTCTCATTTCGAAGTACTCTCGAAATGTCAGGACTGACATTGGTGATCCTCGTGCCAAATTAATCCCTGGTGCTAGGGAATGTCAGGGTTAGAAGGCATGATCATTAAGTTTGCAGACGACACCAAATTGGAAGGGATAGCCAATACTCAAGAGGAGAGGAGCAGAATTCAAAATGATCTTGACAAATTTCAACAGTGACAAATGCAAGATACTCCACTTAGGTAGAAAAAATGAAATGCAAAAACACAGAATGGGGGATGCGCGGCTTGAAAGCAGTACGTGTGAAAAAGATCTTGCGGTTCTTGTGGACAACAAGTTAAACATGAGCCAACAATGTGATGTGGCGGCAAAAAAAGCCAATGGGATTTTGGCCTGCATCAATAGGAGCATAGTGTCTAGATCCAGGGAAGTCATGCTACCCTTCTATTCTGCTTTGGTTAGACCACACCTGGAATATTGTGTCCAATTCTGGGCACCACAATTGAAGAGTGATATTGGCAAGCTGGAATGTGTCCAGAGGAGGGCGACTAAAAGATCAAGTGTCTGGAGAACAAGCCCCATAAGGAGCGGCTTAAAGAGCTGGGCATGTTTAGCCTGAAGAAGAGAAGGCTGAGAGGAGACATGATAACCATGTATAAATATGTGAGAGGAAGCTATTTGTGTGTGAGATTTATTTTAATTGCTTTGTATTAGTATTTGTATTTCGCTTTGTATTGTGGTTGTTATTGCTTGTATTGATGTATTGTGGGCTCGGCCTCATGTAAGCCACACCGAGTCCCTTGGGAGATGGTAGCGGGGTATAAATAAAGGATTATTATTATTATTATTAAGTAACAGGGAGGAGGGAGCAAGCTTGTTTTCTGCTTCCTTGGAGACTAAGACGCAGAACAATGGCTTCGAACTACAAGAAAGGAGATTCCACCTGAACATTATAAAAAAAGGAAGAACTTCCTGACTGTGACAGCCATTCAGCAGTGGAACTCTCTGCCCCAGAGTGTGATGGAAGCTCCTTCTTTGGAAGCTTTTAAACAGAGGCTGGATGGCCATCTGTCAGGGGTGCTTTGAATACAATATTCCTGCTTCTTGGCAGGGGGTTGGACTGGATGGCCCATGAGGTCTCTTCCAACTCTATGATTCTATGATTCTACGTTACTTACTTAGGTGATCCCTCATTGGACGAGCAGGATAGTCTTCCAGGATCAGTGTTCTGGTGGGTCTGTAGGTGACTGTGGAGCCCTATCCTTGATCTGCATCGTCTCCCACAGTGAGCGCATTGGTTTCCAGGTGGAAAGCGGTCTCGGTTGGGGTTGGCTTGATGTGCCTTCCTCTTGGCACATTTCTCCCTTTCGCCCTCCATTCGTGCCTCTTCAAATTCTGCAGCACTGCTGGTCACAGCTGACCTCCAGCCGGAGCGCTCAAGGGCCAGGACTTCCCAGTTCTCAGCATCTATGCCAGAGTTTTTAAGGCTGGCTTTGAGCCCATCTTTAAATCTCTTTTCCTGCCCACCAAAATTCCATTTTCCGTTCTTGAGTTCGGAGTAGAGCAACTGCTTTGGGAGACGGTGGTCGGACATCCTGACAACATGGCCAGTCCAGCAGAGTTGATGGCAGAGGACCATCACTTCAGTGCTGGTGGTCTTTGCTTCTTCCAGCACGCTGACATTTGTCCGCCTGTCTTCCCAAGAGATTTGCAGAATTTTCCAGAGGCAGCGCTGATGGAATCGTTCCAGGAGTTGCATGTGACGTCTGTAAACAGTCCACGTTTCGCAGTTGTATAGCAGGGTTGGGAGGACAATAGCTTTATAAACAAGCACCTATGGATGTCCCGGTTCTCAAACACTCTCTGCTTCATTCGGAAGAATGCTGCACTTGCAGAGCTCAGGCGGTGTTGCTTTTCGGTGTCAATGTTGACTTTGGTGGAGAGGTAGCTGCCAAGGTAGCAGAAATGGTCAACATTTTCTAATGTTACGCCATTAAGTTGTATTTCTGGCATTGGAGACGGATTGGCTGGTGACTGCTGGAACAGCACTTTGTTTTTCTCGATGTTCAATGACAGGCCGAGCTCGTATGCTTCTGCGAAGGTGTTTAGGGTGGCTTGTAGATCTTTTTCTGAAGGTGCACAGATGACATTGTCATCAGCATATTGGAGTTCTATAACAGATGTTGTTGTAACCTTAGTTTTGGCTTTCAGTCTGCTGAGGTTAAACAGCTTGCCATCTGTCCGATAGATGATTTCTACTCCGGAGGGAAGCTTCCCATCAACAATCATTTTATGAATGGTATTACTCTAGAGTAGGCATGGGCAAACTTTGGCCTTCCAGGTATTTTGGACTTCAGTTCTCACAATTCCTAACAGCTGATCAAGAGAACATGCTGCTATTTCCCCCACAGCTTCTCATCAATGTGTAACAGCTCCCTTCACTTTTTTTTATCCTACCAATCCCCTTTTCTCTTGTTTCCCTACAAAAGTAATATGATCTCACTCAGAACGGAATCTATACAGTAGAAATTAGAAACTCTAAGATATATTGCCCGAAAACGGCCTCCTCCTGGCCTTCTCAGTTAATTCGAGGGAAGGCTGCTGTGCAAAGAGCAAAGGCTTTGTGGAATCCTGTTACATGCGCCTAAGCTGTTCAAGTACAGGAACATATTAAGATTTACCAAGCTTAAAATAACTGCCCTTTTGTTTGTTTTCCCCACTGCTCACCTCTGCAGCAATGACTCAGACACGCACATGCAGTAAATTCAACTTGGGATGTCTGTTAATCAAGGACGCGGGGAGCTAAATTGTCAATAATAGTTACGAGTTATGCATGGGGGGGGGGGGCAGGGAGTGAAAACTCCCTAGAGGAGATAGCTTTGTCATCATCAGTCCCTGTTACACCACACTCTCCCCTCCACAACAATCCTGGTTATCTTGATGTACAGATTGAATATCCAGAAGTCCAGATTCCGATATACTCCAAAATCCAAAACTGTCCAGGTGAGTGGCTGAGACAGTGTTTCCTTTGCTTACTGAGGTTTCAACATCCACAAACTTTGCTTTGCTTTATGCACAAAAATTACACTATGTAACAAAATTTGAAAAAAAAATCTGTTCCTGTATTGTC